TCACCTCAAACGACTCACCATTTGCAGTCATTTGAAAAGTAAAAATAAATTTACCGATGGCAGCGTGCTTATGATTTCTAGACATCATAATGTACCATGAGGAAAACGCTATATCCATGCGGTTATAACAGTCAGATGCGCGGAATTAGTCCAAAACACAACAACCACGATTCTCAGTCACATGACATCTTACTTCACTATCTAATCGTGTAATCGTATCAACGGATGTTTCGCCTAAGAAAAGAAGACTACTGGTTCAAGGAAAATTTATTTAGTTTTTTTTAAAGATCGTGAACATATGTGTTTATAGTCACGGAAAAATCACAACTTCGAGGAAACCACCGATCGTAGACTACAACCCGAAACATTCTTCCTAATTAATGTCTTACCTTTAACTGGGATTGTTCGTACACTCACCAGATCATCGTATTTTATCCGCTTTGAAAACCGTCTTGCAACCCATCGAATGGATGTTAACACTGGCTCTATTACGGGTAGTCCTAGTTCATGTATTTGGATCTAGTACATCAAACAATAATAAGCATAAGTAACACTTACCCTTAAGGATTCCAGGTTCTTTTAGTTCCCCAAAATACACACAAGCACAACAGATTCATACTTTTCATGCGGCTCAACCTTATTTGACTTAGATTCTCTCACAACATATTTTTTTAAATGATAGCAGACACACTGATGGTATATTCCCATTCTCAAAAAGCTTCAAAGCTTTTTCAACTTCAACCCAGGTTCTAAATTCTCCAGGCTTAATTCGTTCTTCGAAAACCTTGCTAATATCAACTCTGATGGTGCTGTCTTTAACAGATTCACTCGCAGATTGTTGTATGCTGCAAACATGAACGAAAAAGACACTCTTTTTCCAGATTTCTGCATGTTATGTAAGTAACTGAGCCAACAGTAGTAACGGCAACCAACTAATGGACTGGAAACAACTGCTTCTGCCAGCCAAACATCTTCATGAGCACAATTTCAAAACCCCGTACACAGTGCCAATTCATTAACAGCTGAAAACCAACTAAAACACTGAAAGCCGCATGAATGCAAGGTATGAAACAATTACACCGAAATGAATGCACTGGCCTGGTAGTGAAAACTTTTGAAACCAAAGAAACAATTCATTTTAAGGCAAAGTAAAACTTTAGACACCACTAACAACCAATTAGCAAACGACCTCGAACGGACCAATCATATTAAAGAGGCATATATGATGAATGGAAAGGTATATTTGTAGAAAAAAAGTATAAAATAGAGGATAAAAAATTTACATGGGATATCTTCCTCGAACATGTGAGAAAAACATCTCCCAGTTTAGCATGGGACTGTCAATGGAGAAGTTACGCCATATCCTGTACATATATTCATCCAAATGACTACTTGAGATCCTTTTGAGATCCATTTATAGCCCTTATCCTATTTTTCAACCTGCCTCAAAATCCTTCAATAGAATTTGTATGTGCCCTCGTAACGGGATCCACAAAATCACTTGAATGGTTGACTCTATGATGAATATATCGCAGAGATGACAGTGAATTGTAGCCTTTCCACTCGTCGGTGTGTATAATTGACCCCGCTTAACAAGTCTGGTAATAATAGGTATAAGAGTAGTTGCTTTTCTATCTGCTATCCTTAGGGAGAGAAGCGACCTAGCGAAAAAAGTTCCTACGAAATATTAAAATTATCAGCTTACTCTTTCTAGAGTTAGTAGGCTTCAAACATATAGCACAACGATGAACAAACCCATCAGTTGATTTGGTATAGCTTTTTAAAGTCATGATACCACCACACAGACAAATTCGCTCTTTCCGGCGCAACTCAAATCCAGGAAATACTGGAAAACGCTAACCTCCTCGAATCGCAACGATAGCTTTGTAAGGTCACGCATTAGAAATGAATCAAGCGCTATACAACATTGAACTGCATTCGTGAACCTCATTGGATAATTCGACATCGTTCGTGAATCTCATTGGATAATTCGCTGATTGGTAGTTAGTGGTGTCGAAAGTTTAACTTCGCCCATTTTAACAGCAACGGAAACAAAAAATGAGGTGAAACGCAACATTTGTGAACAATACGTAACAAGATAAGTAGTGTATAACGGCAGGATAAACGGAACAACAAATGCGTACACGAACAGCTACGGAACTGCAATCCAACATGGCCGACTGATATGGACGAAAATGACATTTAAGCGTCTCACTCCACCAATGACCTTGATAAGTTACGGATAATTTTAGCCGATAATGAACGCTGTCAATGTAGATGAAGATTGAACGATCGATTCATGGTTGTTTGCTCAAAACCAACTTCCCCAATTTTCGCGGAGGCATCAATACACCAGTCATCGTCTCATCGGTCGCTGTTCAGAAAGAAGTCAGACCAAAACTGTCAGAAGTAATATTGTGATTTATTATTGTAATATTTGTCCATAGACCTTAGTTAAAGCTTAATTTTAAAGTTGGATATATTGGTGTTAGAATAAAGAATTCTCGATTGGCCAATCAGTGTTTTGGTTTTTGCGTCCGTTATTACTAAGCGTTTCTGAGAAACTTCAAGGAACAGCGTGAGTCCCAGCGTAGCAAGAGCTGGGCATTGACGGTTTACGAGACGTGGCTGACAGTTTCTGACGGTGGAAACAGATTCTGACTGATTCAGACAGTTGGTGACAGTTTGGATAGCCACTGTTCATCTTACTTCCGTTAGTAGTAAGCGTTTCTGAAAGGCTTCGAGGGATAGCGAGAGGCCCGGTGTAGCAAGAGATGGGCATTAACTTTTTTTGAGAGTTGATATACAATCATTGTTTGTAATTGGTGTTTATCCAATCCAGAGTTTTAACACACCGAGAAGAATGATAAACAATGTTACTGATATAATCCGATGAGAATAACCACTATCTAGCGTGATTAATATTTCAGACTTTCACATGACTATAATGTCTGGCCTCCTATAAACACCTCTTTTAGAAAGATTGCTGAAGCTCTTGACTATGCTGACAGTCGCATAAAGATGTCTGCCCCATTTGATGTCAAAGGTTGTGTTATTCGTTATTCACTATGTTTGCTATAGTTTGGTCCCGACGGCGGAATTGTCAGGGGAATTAGTGTACTGTTTTTCCGTTCCCGGATCTTGTATTTTTGTAGATGTCAAAGAAGACTGGTTAACTCTAACTGGCATCCACATCAAGTTTGTCTATGCACACTGAGCACTGTTGAGTAGTCGCGGCGCCCTAACTGGTTTCACTGTAGGCAGTATGAGGGCAGCTGTATATTTTGTACCAATTTAAGGTTCGTTGAAGAAAACAGTCAACCGATAACTGAAACTGCGTAAAGTTATCACCTCTTCTGAAGTTTGATTGCATTCTTGACACCCCTACAGAATTTTTAGACTTCGGTATTTAACAAATCTACTAAATTTGGTGGACAAATCCATCAAAGTATAATTTCTTTCCCGTGCTGTAACAGTATGGGTGAACTGAAACTATAGCTATTCCATATTAGTTTGTTTATTAAATGTATCACACAGTGAAACATTTAATAAACAAACTAATATGGAATTACTTACTACCACAGTGCCCAAGTTTTACACATATATGAAACTATAGCTGCCCGAAACAAAACTATCCAATAAAGACCTTGTCAAGTCTCCGTCGACTAATCAGATGCCAACGAAGTTGAGGTGCGTAATTTAAGAAAGACATTTATATAAAATGTAATGCAATGTTAAAATGAAGTTATTAAGGATAACGTTCTTGTATATGTTCCAAGAAAACTTTCAGATTTCCCGTAGGAGTCTTCCTAGTTAAGTTGAACGAATTCCGATGAAAGATTCGCCGAAATAATTGTAAATCATTACTTTTTATAGCCTATCCATCTCTCTGGTCTTCTTATTTGAGCAACTGTCGGAGCTTTCGGTGGACTCTGTGAGTCTCGACGAAAAGGTTCAAGAAATCATCTGGTCCCAATTGCACAAAAAAGGTGAACAGAGCGTTACAAAGGACTGCAAATGTGGGAAGCTCAGTGGACAAAGGGATGTAGCGGTAGATAATTCCCCAAAATTATTGACTATAGGTATCATCAGTGAACATTGGATGCTGACTCTTAGTGTCTAAGTCGACTTGTTTAGCTGAAGACCTCCGGTCAAGCATCCTCGCCATTCGGTACTCCGTCGTGTCACTTTCGTCAACGATAACTAGCCAGCTTAGCTTCCGCTTCAGTCCACGATTTGGTTCCAAAATATATTTCGTGGTTTGGACGATCGAATTGCTTTGCCTTTGGTCCACGAGGAACGAATAATATAGAGGTTGTTGGTATAAGGTCTTGCATTAGTATATCCCGTACAAGTCGCGAACGTCAATACCATCAGCCTCTAAAGGGAAACTAAAGCAGGCTTTGCAGCTAATTCTTCACCCTTTTCAAGGTGACACATTACATTCCTTTTTTTCGCATTATTGGTGCACTTTTCATCGTTGTCGTTTCGTCCTTATTTTCGAATAATTCCTCCCTTCTTCACTGAAATTCTGCTTCATTCGAGTTATTTCTCAACTCGAAAATAGCATACCTTTTCGATCGCCTATATTTGAATTATTTGATCCTTCGAGAAAAGTTTCTCACCGTTTGTCAACCATTTCCCAGAAATGTCACCTTTTCGTTCGCACGTTTGTCCGATTGTGCATGATTGACCACTTTGTGAATAAACCTTAGAGATAACAGTTGGCTACATATTTACTCCCCTGTTGTCTCAATAGTGCCTGCACACTAGATATGGGTGAAATTCGTTACGTAGTTTGTACAGAGAACTCATGATTTCTTCTATCTACTAAAGACATCTCACCGGTTTGTCAAGGTCGTTAATCATTCATTGTTATTTCGTCTTGAGCTACCGTAGTTTATAGTCATCATTGTATGCGTTGCCAGTTACACAAACGCCCGAACAAAATAAACCTTGGAAATGCGAACTTCACCATACAGCAAAATGGTGTTTGAAATGATCACAGCTCTATTGACAATCTGTCAAGTCACCATCAGCACTGTCAGTTGTTTATCTCACTGGCGGGCTTAGGAAAATACGTCCGTCTGATATGAAGAAATCGTACGGTGATGACAAGAAGTTGGTTGTGGAAGGGAAGAGCTGTACATTATTTGATGATAAGGAAAAGGCTTTCGAAGTTGAGACTGGCAAACTCCTCATACCGTGGTGGGGAGATGAATCAATTTTAATAGATAGGTTAGCGTTAGTTATTGTCATGCGTTTTGTATTAATGGATTAATTGTATTCTGTTTAGGATATTGATTTTCTGAAGGTATTTGTGACTTCAGGGAGGTTCCAAGTTTTTCACTCTTATAACCCAACTAAAGTCTCTTGGTCTGTTTGTACAACGAAACCATTGCCGTATGCAACTTAATACGTATTGAGTTGGCATTATTATGGGAACATTTGAAAAGCCTACAAAATAATGGTGAATGGTATTATGATTTCGCGTGACAATATCGACTGAGATACCTATATTATCCCACCCGCAGCCTAATACTGCTCTTCAGACGCTGTTTTTAAACAATGACAATTAGTTAAGGCCTTTTATGTTTCTTCAGGCGTTTCGGTGGGTGAGATGGGAAAGTATAGCTGAAAAATTATCACTGACAGAAAATGTATGGTAGGAGTTTGATGACAGTTATCCACGTCAAGTATCAGCCGAAAGACAATTCGACCTTTATATATACACGTGTGCATATATTTTCTTTCTAAACGTTCTCTGCAACAGGTTCCGGTTGTAGAGGGAAACCAGTGGAAGCGATTAGAGCAAGTGCGTGATGGGTCAGCTCAATCCCTAGGCTCAGCCATGCACTATGCTGATGCTGTAAACTACCAAAATTGTTACCACATTTGCTCATACTCTGCTTCGAGTATGAAAAGCACGTTTCATGTATACGTCTCTGTAAATGCTTGAGACGTATCTGAATGACATTTAGAACTCTCGCGGAGTGTCTTTTATGCCGGTGTTTCCTTTTGAAAACCATGTCCTGGGAATGGTAGCCACCCAAGTAATCTAAAATCTACGGAAAAATTACTTTACTGTTAGTCTGTAATGTTACTTTGTGAACCCTAAGGTGGCTTCTTGCAAGTATCTCCTAACCAGTTTCTTTCGTCTAAAGCCTATGTTTAGTCTTTGTAGATCTGTTGCTAATTAATGAAGTTAGTCTCTGGAGGACTATGTTTTAAGAACAGAATATCGTTGCATGTATTTTCGAATTCATTAAAAAAGCTGGCTGTGAGGTCCACTGTCTTATAGCATTGGTTTCAATGATTTGGTGACGTAGATGTCTCATGTTATATGTCCTCAATATATTCGATGTAGGCTGTCAAGTAGAAGCTGTAAGTAAGGCTCAGTTCAGGCTGTTATTCTTAAAACAGCGCGTCAAATTAGAAACCTACATCCTTTTCACTGCTTACAAGCTGGCGTAACCGAAGTTGTACTCTTATTCATTATTACCTTATTTAGTCTGGTTGACATTCAGCTATTTTCGTTCTTAAAAGTAGGACTAATAGGTCCTACTGGTTAAAGATTGGAGATAGCTCTGATAACGTCAACTGCATTTGGAAAACCGATGTTTGCATTCTGTTCAGTTTGAAGTTGGTTTGTACGGGGATTTGATTTCCCCTCCTTACCTAGCACTCGATGCCTAACCTCAATATTCCTCACCTTATTAAACCACTTCACACGGGAGATAGCGCAGGCACCCATGATCAAAGACAGCTAGTCTTTTCATGTCTTCCATGTGGCCATTGAGAGTGGAAGACATGAAAAGACTAGCTGTCTTTGATCATGGGTGCCTGCGCTATCTCCCGTGTGAAGTGGTTTAATAAGGTGAGGAATATTGAGGTTAGGCATCGAGTGCTACGTAAGTGAGGAGGGGAAATCAATCGACGAGACTGTGAAATTACATCGACTGAGATGGTTAGGGCATGTGTTACGTATGCCTAGTCATCGCCTTCCTCGACAATGGGCAATGTTAGCTGATATAGGGTCAGGCTGGAAAAGAGCTAGTGTCGGTCATCCCAAAACATGGCTTCATCGGCCAATGAAATCCACAACAGTTAGTTTAAGCTAGCCACGTAGGAAGGTGTAGACTGGCTTCCTGGTTGGGGTCCTCGGGACGGTAAAAACCAATGGTTGGAAACAGGTGGTGATATGGCTCGAAATCGTTCTCAATGGCTTGCGCTGTTTGATGCATCCATTCCTTGTGACTTATGATCTCCAATGAAACTGTTTTGTTCTTTGTTATTACTATTCCTTTTTCTCACACCTCTGTTTACTGTCTCTATTATGCATTTCTTCTACTTTCTTCTGTTGCTTTGTGTGTTACATAGAGTGTGGTGACTTGAACTGCTGCACATCAGTGCAAAGTTCTATGTCAAAAACAGGCAGACAGACGGGAATTTAGTGTAGGTAGAGGCCGTTTGGACTGTTTTCTGAAGTGTTTTGCCCATAGGTTTCACAGTCTTCGTTGTCAAGTTATTAAAAATTCACCTTTTTTACAAACCGTTTCCCTTGTGGCTTTTTGAAACGTTTCCTTAATAATCCTGAGTAGTCTATGTGTTGCATGTTGCTGGTACTATTTAATACCTGTTTTGTTACGCACCATTGTCTGCGGATTTTACAGAAAATTCCAGTGTGCTTACTCATGAGCAGCTCTCACTTCCGTCTTCCAACAAAACAATTTTTGCAACAAAAGATTTGGATAAAGTTACCGAAATCCACTGATATTTACTAACTGTTGACTGTAGACTGCTTATTGTTTTCGCTGTTGTTTTTACAGCAGACAAGTAAGGAGATTTACTTCTTACCTTTAATGAGTCACACGCATATATATATATATATATATATATATATATATATGAATCTACTCACCCTTTTTGACTCAGTCCTTCTAAAAGCGAGGTGGCATAGACAGCTCATTAGCTGCCTATTGTAAACACCTCGTTTTTGCCGCATCCAACCAAGTCATCATACCCCCACCATAGTGTAAGCAATGGCGACAACTTCGCTACTCAACCAACTTTTCTGGCATTGTAGGAGCTGCAGTAACGTTCGTTCCAGCCAGCATAGCTCATTGAGTCGTTTCAGCATACATACTTGACCACTACCTTAAGATAGAAATTATTTCATTACGTTACTGAATTTTGTTTGTACCTTAAATTATTTAGTACTCCTGTTTTCCGGACATTCGCACCTGCCGTTCTGCATGACAAATTCAGTGTAATTTATTTGCTTATCAGTCTTATATCTCCCAATGTAATTTCAAGAGTATGTATATCCGTGTATGTAAAGTATTCAGCTGACGAGTTCTACCGAAATGAGGTGAATTCATTAAATCCTGCTTTATTAACCTTTGTTACTTGTTTTAAATTCGTATCAGTAAATAAATGTTTTTAAAACTCCTGTTTTGTTTGCTGGTTAGATTTGATGGGCGTGGATATCTCACTGAGGTCTGCGAGCAGGATTCCACTTGTGATCTGAAATATGAAGATTATTTATCTGAAGATGAGATAGCAATCGAAAAAATGTGCGATTTTGAGCGTTATTTGGAGATGCAGGTCGACGTCCATGAACTCGCAATTGAAGCTGGTGAGTTTCTTTTAACAATTGTGTTTTAATATGTTCTGCACTTACCACCTTTGCCGATTGTTAATGTGACCTTAGCTTTTGAGTCGATGTCCGTTTGGTAAACGCGTTGATGAGAATTTGGTTCTATTTTGGTAAGTTTTATCTGTGAACTGAATAAAGCATATTTTCGATACTTTTGACTATTACTAGATTAACCTGGTATGAATTTTTGTTTGTATTACTATGTGTGCCATTTGTATATATTTTATGCTGTAGAGATTAACAACTTTTACATCTGTTTATACATTGCAGGTTTTTTATCGGAATGCAACATGCAATACGAGCCTGGAGAGGCTATGGAAATAAGCATACATTCAATGTAATTAAACATTAGTCATTTTTTCCCAAAAAATCAAACTGTTGTACTTCTGTTTTTATCCTCAAACATATATACATGATTCACTTCATTTTTTATTCTATAGAAGAGGCTCAAAAACGTGAATCAGAAAAGTTTCGTAATCATTATGGCGCTGTTGGCTTTTCTTACGATGAAAATATTCCCGGAGCAAACGGTGATGGATCCAACCCTAGTAAAGAGTCAGGTAAAAATAAGATTTCACTTAGAAATGGTCGCGTATTTTCAAATAAAATATGTTCCTTTCAACTAAATGTGTCTATTTAGTTTGCAAGTAGTTTTCAGTCCGAAGACTTCCATTTCGAATATATTAAAATTTACGTTAACATCGTGACATAGCTAAAAACTGTTTACAGTGGCGCTGATTCATTTATGTCTTGTCATCTTGCAGATACTGAAAAGCTCCCACAATCTCTATCTATTTATTCTCTTCGTTGTATCCACGTTTGTCTGTTGTAGTTTCACGTCATCTCTGTTTTCTTCGTGTGATTCTTCGAAGTGTGACAACCTAGACTGTGATATAATTTAACACGAAGTCCTACAATGACTCGTTAGTCAGCTGTCTGCCTGTCTGGATTCAACATAGAACTTTGCACCGAAGTGCAGTAGTTCGAGTTTCCACGTTCCAAATAGCACACAAAGGTAGACAAGAAGATTAGTGAAGAGAATCAATAGAGTTTTGACAAGTATAAGAATGAAACAGAATGAGTAATGGTAGAAAGGAATATAAAAGATTAAAGAGACTGAATACATCTGCGTCAGCTAGTAATGACATTAAAATAGCATCGCATTGGATCACTTACCCAGTAAGAGTTTACAGGTAATGTGCTTTATAAAGAGTGTCTTCTAAGAATCTTCATGATCTTTAACTCCTCCATAATGGATTTCACTTAAAATACTCCTTTTATCTGTGCCACCATTGCAAGAAAACAGTTCTCGGAATGTTCACATTTTATTTTCTTATTTTGGTGCAGTTAAAAACTGTTTAGTAATTATGGTTGTAGTCTAGATAGGATAACTTGAGACGAATGATGTTTTTGAAAAGAAAAGGCGTAATGTTTATTAATGCCTTAAGGCTTAGGGGAAGACAATGTAGATTCAGTCACGCGGTGTGTTTGAGTTTGAAGAAATTTGTGCGATTTACTCATAGAGGAAAACCTTACTGCTGGCTGCCGATAACCGTAGCTTAAATTGGGATTCACTGTCCACGACAGATCACTCCTGAATTCAATTTGGGAAAGCCTTAAGGGTAATCACATCAAGATGTAGCATTACAAAAAGTCCCTGATTGTTGATCTAAGTCGTATGAAGGGATTTAGGCTACTTATATAGTCTTCAGTGTATTAAGTATCTTTAGGTAGTCTTTTGATAACATGACTCTAAATTGTCTGTGGTGGCATAGCTGTTTTGCTGTGTCATCCTAAGCCTCTATATTAATACTTTGGGTTTGATTAAAGCGTTTTTCGCAATTACTTTTGTGTCAGCGTGATTCCACTTTTGTTGCTTACCACTTTGTTCACTCTTAAAATGTGAAAAAACTGAACTCATGCACTACTGTGTTAGTTTGTAAATTGATTTGTTAACCTATCAATCAGTTTGTTCGGTTGTAGTGCTTGAACAGTTATAGCACACGCGTTGTGAATAATGTCTGTACTTACTGTATAGAGATGTCGCTAAGCGGTCATTGTTCAATGCGTACATCGTACTTAGACGTAATCACTTGTTTTATGTTGTACTTATCAGTCTAACAAAGGTAAAATGTCTCTGTCTCTCTCTGTTTTCGACATAGAACTTTGCACAAATGTGCGGAAGTTCAAGTCGCCACATTCCGTGTAGCACGCGAAGCAAGAGAAGAAAGTACAAGAAAAGCATAATAGAAACAGTGAGCAGAGGTGTGAGACAAAGGAGTAATAAAGAAATACAAAACAGTTTCATTGGAGATCATAAGTCACAAGGAGTGGATGCATCTGCGCCACTGAGAACGATTTTGAGCCATGTCACCAATTGTTTCCAACCATAGATTTTTACCGTCCCGAGGACCCCAGCCTGGAAGTGGCTTAGACCAACTGTTGTGGATTTCATTGACTGATGCCAAGTTTTTGTTTGACCGCCGCTAGCTTTTTTCCAGCCTGACCCTATATCCGCTAACATTGCTCGTCGAGGGAGGCGATGGCTTGGCATACGTAACACATGTCCTAACCATCTCAGTCTTTGTAGCTTCACGACTTCGTCGATTGATTTCCCCTGTTTACCTAGAACTCTACGCCTAACCTCCATGTTGCTCACCTTATTATGCCACTTTACACGGGAAATAGAACGCAGGCACCTATGATCAAAGACAGCTAGTCTTTTCATGTCTTCCACTCTCAGTGGCCAGGTCTCACAACCATAAAGGAGGACGGAGCGGACTGATGAGCAGTACACCCGCCCTTTGGTCGATAGTCGAACATCTCGTCTACGCCAGAGTCGGCGTAAACTAACAAATGCGAAACGAGCCCCTTGTATTCGTGCTGAGATTTCGTCAGAGATCAGCCCGTTGGGGCTGATGGTACTTCCCAAATAAGTGAAGCGGTCAACGTGCTCTACCACTTCACTTCCTATTTTTAAACTAGGCGTCGATGTAGTCCAGTCCTGTAACATCATCTTGCATTTGGCGGGAGCGAATCGCATGCCAAACATTCGTAGATTGCGGCTCAAGGTGTTTAGAAGACTCTGCATTTCGTCAGCGTCTTCGCCTAGAAGGACTATATCGTCTGCATATTCCAAGTCAACGAGATTATTCCCGGTAGCAAGTCAATCCCTGAGTCGCTGAAGTCACCTAGGGTTAAGTCCATTAACACATCTATGATGAAGTTGAATAGAAAAGGAGATAATGGGCATCCTTGACGGACACCACTGGTCGTCATCAGTTCAGATGACAGCTCGCCGTAAGCCCTCACCTGGCTGTATGAGTACGAGTAGAGTGCCTTAATCAGTGCAATATATTTTCTCGGAATTCCCTTTACAGCCAAGCATCTCCAGAGAACTTCCCGATCGACAGAGTCGAATGCTGCCTTTAGGTCAAGAAATATAATGACTGTTGGACGCCGGTAGGAATGCCTATGTTCTAGAATCTGTCGGAGGGTGAAGATATGATCAATACACCCTCTTCCTGGTCTAAAGCCTGCCTGGCTCTCTCGTGTTTGTGCTTCCCGAGCACCACTCAGTCTACGCATGATTATTGAGCCTAAGACTTTAGATACTATATTAGTCAAGCTAATCCCTCTGTGATTATCACAGGAAGACTTGTCTCCCTTCTTGTATATGGGGATAATCAGTGACTTACACCAACCCGATGGGACTTCTTCTGATTCCCAGACGCTGCCTAGTACCTCAGTTAATCCGGACAGTAAGCTGTCTCCACCGTACTTAAATACCTCTGGAGTCATTCCATCAGGTCCCGCTGCTTTGCCTAGTTTCAGATTGGTGACAGCTTTAGTAACCTCAGTTAGTGACGGAGGACCTGTGTCTATATCCCATTCAGGGAGGTGTTGGATGCTCGGAAGGTTGAGCGTGGCTGTGGGCAAATTAAACTGCTCCTCATAATGCTCTTTCCAACGATCCAGTCGTCTATCCTGTGAGCTAATTATAGTGCCATTTTTTTCCGAGATTGTCTCACTGATGATTTGTCTTCTCCCACCCGTTTCCCTGATGAGTCAAAAGAGTTGCCTGGTGTTGCCTATCCTCGAAGCTTTCTCCATCTCTTTGGCTTTTGTCGCCCACCACTGTTCACGGTCCTTGCGGAGACTTTTCGTAAGTTTCCTCTTGTGCAGCTTTCGCTCCTCATTGAATTCGGAGCTCGCCGGAATAAGTCTTCTAGCATCTATCAGTTCGGATGAGGCGGTGGAGATCCAGTGGTTTTTACTCACCTTTGGGTTTACCTTATTCACAGCTTTTACAGCTGTATCTATGGCTGCCTGGATATTTTTCCAAGCTTCTTCAGGGTGAGCACAGCTGTCGAACACAGATATGTGTTTAGCTAGTTCTTCCTCAAATACGGATTTAGTTTCCTGATCGAGCTGGGGACGTGATGGTTTTACCGCCAGCTGTTTCCTACGTCCGTTCAGTCGTAAGCACACCCGAGCGCGGACCAGTGCATGGTCGGTATCTACGCACGTGTTCCAGAAGGAGCGACAATCTCCTACCGACCCACGCCAACGATAGCTTATTGCTATGTGGTCTATTTGTGTCCAGCGTTGGTTTGATGAAGGGGGTCTCCAAGTCAAACAGTGTCTCTCCTTGTGTTTAAAGTTAGTGCTTACAAGAAACAAATGATTATCAGAGCAGAACTGTAGGAGACGGTCACCGTTGTCGGTTCGCTGGCACGGAACTCCATAGGTGCCACCGACATCCTTCTCAGATTGACACAATTTCCCTACTTGAGCGTTAAAGTCACCAGCTAGAACGACTATGTCTGAGCGTTTAGCCTTTCCACCAAACTAGACAGCTTTTGGTAGAACTCATCCTTCGTTTCATCTGAACTGCAGTCAGTGGGGGCGTAGGCGGAGATTACGAAAAGGCATCGGCGAGTAGTGCAGTCCTTCCTCCTTCTTACTGATCCGTTCAGGCGGACAGCACACATTCGGCTATCTACCGGGATCCAGTCAAGCAATGTCTTTTCTGCCCTAGTACTCAAAGCTATCCCTACGCCAGCTAATCCTCGTGAACTAGCTGTGGCATCTCCTGACACCCTCAAGGTGAATTTTGCAGATTCAACCTGTTGGCCAGGTGGGGTTAGGTGAATAACCACACTTGGGTCTTGTATGCGTGTTTCTGAAACACAGCATACATCAATGGCTCGTGATGCCAGGGTCTTGGCTAGTGATGCTTGTTGTCCTATTTGGCAAAGTGTCCTAACATTAAGAGCTCCTATATGAAATTGGTGGCGCGGCTTTAAGAGGCTGTCGGTGGTGGTTTTTTGGCTTCCATCGTTTTTAGTGGACGCAGAGTGGAGAGGAAGTGGAGAGCTATCAAGTCGAGGAGTTGCATCAGTGGAAGGAAGGCAAGATGATAGAGATGAAGATGAAGACAAAGATGAGTGAGTAATAGAGAGGTTTCGTGTGCATTTCGGATTGTGAGGGCGATTGTTACTTCCCGGCTGCCCACACCGTGGAAGTTGGTTGCGTGACCGCAGAGCCCAGGGGACAACTGCTTGAGGCCGGTCACACGCGGCCTGTTTTTGTTCGTTCTTTTTGTTTGGTGTGTCTCAGTAGCATATTTATCACTCCTGCCCTGTGACACGGCAGCAGGAAGCGCGGTCGTTGTTAATCCGGGCCACGGCCGATCCGGCATGAAATTTTGTGATTTTGTATTGGACATGATGTTGGATTGGGTAGCTGCTTTTTGTTTAACCGCTATCCAAACAACCTGCCTGGCATGGTAGACCTCAAGAGACATAAGTCTCAGCCAGTATAGCTTGAATAGATCATTGCGGTGTTCAAGCCCGACCACCACGTCAAGGTAGCAGCTTTCGGTCGGGACAAAGGTAAAATACTACTAAATATATCGTTGACTAGACAGATACACTGCTCTCTCAAGATATTTTGGTTTTCTTTTATCAAAAATCTTCAGGTGAGCCTGACATGAAGGAACAACAGATTGAAGAACCATATAATTGTCCACCTGAGCTTCAGCAGTTTGTGTCAAATCTCCAACTTCCAGAAACTGATAAACAAGCTCATATCATTGAAAAAACTGCTGTTTTTGTTGCACGAAAAGGAAGTCAAATGGAAATTGTTCTTAAAGCAAGACAGCATAATAATCCGTTATTCGGGTTTTTAACCTATGATCATGCACTGAATCCATTTTACAAGGAGATTGTAAGATTGGTTACACAGGGTCGTTATATCCCAAAACCTCGTCAGACTGTGGATAAACCCACTGGTACGCTTTTTACAGAAGCAAATGAATCAAATAAAGTAAGTATACTATTATTTTAAACGTTTATTCGGTTATATATACACTAAACTTATTAGTGATTCACATTCTTTTCACAGTAATCTTTCACATGTCCTCCCTGAAAGTACCTTGTCAGTATCACTCATTGCTTAGTTTAGTTTTGTTCTTGCCAATCAGTGAATGTCCTTACCAACTTTAGAATTCTATAGGCTTCGGAAACGTTCACTACACGAAAATGTCCAAAGTCAACAAATTGCAAAATAAAACAGAGTTGAATAATATTCTTATTTCCCACATAGAACTGAAGATATCATATTCGAAGTGGATATTTTATAACCACGAGTGAAATAAGAGTACAAGCCTCCCTAAGTAACTTCTCATTTACTTTAGTATACAAAGTGAGCAGAAATTTTCACAAGAAAGCATTAAAGTTATTAACAAACTAGGAGATGACACGTGTGACGGGTATAAATACGAGTAAAAAGAGATGTATCATGGTGTTAGCGAAACGTATGTATAAGGCTCGTTAATCACCTGTGAACTGTGTTCATTCTGATAGACCCCAAATCTTTCTGAATTCTAAACGAACGTAAAAATCACAATCCCTGTGACTTGTAGGTTTTATTTGATTGGTGTAAGCTTTGGAGATGAAGATAAGTATTTACTGTGAGTTCACAGTCTGGTGGTTGCGCTATATATATATATATATATATATATATATATATATATATATATATATATATATATATATATATATATATATATAGTGAATTAGAAGTTGGAATTCATGGACTGTTGGATCGGGTCCCAGTAACTGAATGGTCTACGACCTTGCCTTGTAACCAGATGGCCCTGAGTTCGAACGCCTGTGGGTGCGTACTGCTGAATTAGAATGAGACAGATGTCGAGTACTCCCTGGTTTTCCAATGGTTCTCTAACTGATGTCAGCTTGTGATCACACATGTAACCAATCGAATCCCTGGAAACCAACACTTGAAAACTAAAATATACACTAAGTAGATGACTGGCATGAAAGAATAAATGGTTTCTGATGAGACTTTTGGCGTGTTATTTGTAATATCCTGCTACTCACTGTTCAGTATCTGTAAGACAGTCACTGAAGGTGAAAAGGATGAAATATTTAACTTCTTTTTAACATGGTTTTCCCCGTTCTGTGCCTCACGTTAGATGGAACAGTATAAAAAGTGGTAATTATATTCGGTGCTGTGGTGTTGACTCTGTATTCAGCATATAATGTTCAAAGCATAACTACTGATTCATCTATGTATGTATAGTTGACCATCTTTCTGGGGGTTTAGCTGCACCAAAGCTTATACAAGTGCGTCGATGTTTCAGTGATAGAACACCGACCAACCAAGCAAGTGATCCGGGGTTCGATTTCTGGCTGACGCACTAGTTTACCTCACCTAGCCGATAGTAAAACTGGTAAAAAGGGAAGGTTGGACTTAAGACTATCAACCCCACCCACTAACAATCAAAAACAGCTACCACCGAAACTTCAGAGCTCTCGTTTGAAGCCCTATGTTCCACTGGAAACGCAAAAGAATAAAATTATAAAGGCTTATACAATACGAACCATCTAATGAAAAAGTTTTGTCAAATTTTCCTTAAAGGCGATTTACTCTGTCAACGCTATTATCATAATCTATCTTAACTTACCTCTTCGTTATTTTCTGTTATTCTGATGCAAAATATCGAAAATTTCGGTACCTCATTTCTGAAGTGTTCCTGTTTGTCGGTTCCTGAATAAACTGACCTCCAAATTTATCAAGTTAAGCAGCGCTTTCACAATTTATTGTCATATCAATATTAACAGACAGTATGCCATGTAATATTGAGACCACATTATCGTAGTCACTGCGATTCCGAAAAACTGTTCTTCTCATGACATATATATATATATATATATATATATATATATATATATATATATAATTGTTTCGATTATATATCCAAGCTTTACCTCATGTTTTTTCCCATTATGAATAGCCGATTCACGAAGATGAATACGAATTAAAGTTACCCAAGGTTGATATTTCGAATACACCTTATGCTTCACTTATTTCAAAGTTCAAAAAAATTAATGAAACGTAAGCCATCTGCTATAATATTATCTTCCTGTTTTTTAGTAGAAATACAAATATTTCTGTTTTATGTTGTTCTGCTCTAGTGTTGTTATTTTTTGGCACTTGACAAGGTGTACAGATCACAAGTTTTTCTGTGTCAGCAGGACTAATCCCAGTGACTTGTCTTCAACTTCTAGTAAATCGTGTTTGTTTAAATTTACTGTATGAACACTGCGTCTCCACCCTTAGAAGTGTGTGTGGGCCGCCTTGACTGCTTATATTATGGAAGTTGACTTTTTTTTTGAGGTACATGAAACAGAAGGAGCACTAATGTTGTGTGAGCGTAGAGCACAGGAGACAGTTGCTTCAAACCGGTTGTGTCCGTATGCACTCCTCACTCTCCTTATTTATGGTAACAACATTATTCTAGTTTTGTTCGCTTCCTCTGCAAAGTTAACTTAAACTGATTCATTCTTATGCTAGGTACTAACTAAGTCGGTATATTTGTCGATAATGTCACAATCAAGCGAAAACGACTGGCAGTTTATTACAGAATATTTTTTACGGCTTAGTATTATTTTTTGAAGATGTTTTGAATACATTCAGTTGTCCCATTTACCTTATCGATACCAAGAGAAGCACCAAACAAAGTCTCATAGTTTGTTCGGGGGTTAGGGAACTATTCGGACGCTCAGACGGAGGTATGTAATTGTCTTATCGGGCACCCCATCGAGCCTTCAACTTGAAGTCTAATCCACAAGCCAGTGGAACAGCGTTCCCATGGTATTCAGTGACTAACAGGTTCATACGCCATTCGATCGGTTCGGCTTCTGGAGCCCAGGTACACCATAGGTTCGGAATCAGGATTTTCTCGCTTCCCTAAGTTGACCCGAATGTTCACCAGTCGGGTTGTGAGCGCAGTACTTTCAGGTTTGCCTTTTCAATTTTGTGGGAAACATAACCACAGCGTGAAGGCAGTGAATAGGACTATGAATGTGTGCTCACGTGAGGGCTATTCGAAAGGAGGACCAGTCTATCCCCTCCTCCCACTAGGCCGTAATAGGTTGTTTATGCGGGCCAACTTAATCATTCAGACTTTAAAAATACAACAGGAAAGGTTGTACATGGAACCACACGTTAGTTGTTTCGTATTAACCTCTGAAATCACTATTCATAGATTGTGAAACTTACTGGCATGTAATTTTTCACTGAATTATTTCTAAGCAATGATTGTTCTGTCATGTGAAATATTTAAGCATTGCTTATTTCTATTTCGAATGACACTAGAATTATGTTTATTGCATGGAAGATTTTCTCCTGTGTTTGATATGATCATTTTCTGTCTATTTTAGGGCTGCGGCGTTGGCAGCAGCGAATCTCGCTGCTAGTGCTACTTCCGATGATCAATCTCGTGTGGCCACTCCTGAAGTGATAAACGAAACAGATCCTCCACCTAGTTCTGATGGGCTAGCTAATGATAATGCTCCAGACAGCTTCGAAAACAATGAGAAAACCGTAGAATCAGAAAATGAAACACCCTCACCTCAGTCTTCTTGTACAGAAGATGAAGTTGTTGTAAATTGTGAAACTGCTATTCCTCCTACTGTTGCTGTTGATAATGATGATGTTTCAGCCACTACTACTAACACTACTACTACTACTACTGTGGATAATTCTCAACCGGAATCGACTGATCCTTTATCTCCTGAAGAATATGAACATATCTATCAAGAATATTACAGACATTACTATGCACACTATTATACGCATTATACGAATCAGTGGACTGCGTGTGGTGGTCTAATGAAGGATGAACATGAAGCCAGTATTGTCCAAGAAGCTGCTAAAGCAGCCGCTATAGCAGCTGCAGCTGCTGTCAGCGTTATTCAACAAACCCGTTTAAAAACCACTACACCAGTGATATTTGAGTAAGTAATTTTATATAGTCGCGTATATGCCTAAATTGGTTTTTCCTTGTTTAAGTTGGTTTTCGTGTAGGATGCTTCACCTGTTCAGCAACCAGTCGGTTAGTTACGTAAAGAAGACACTTATTTGTGATAATTTTATTAGCAAGAGGATTGATTTTTATCGTATTGACCATTAGAAAGTAACTCTTGCTTTGATTACTTCATTTTGAACTTATAAGTCGTGAATTTTCAGAAGAATACAATTATATATGAATGCGGTTATACAACTTTTGAGCATAAAGTCGTCTGAAGTAAGACTGTCATCCATTTTTCTTTTCGTATGACTGACCAGTTAGTAGTTGCTGACTACTGTATTTCCCAAATTGACTCCTGAATTAAAGATAGGGAGTAAAGTGGTAGAGCGTGTTGACCACTTCATTTATTTAAGAAGTTGCATCAGCCCAAATGTATTGATCACTGGCGAAATTTCAGCGCGGATACAGAAGGCTGGTTTCGCTCGCATATGCCAACTAATGCAATCTCTAGCTTAGTCGATGTGGTATTCGGCTGTCAACCAAATGGCTTGTGTACTGCTCAGCAGTCCACCCCGTCATCCTTTACGTTTAGCTGTGAGTTACACCATACCATCGAAAGTGGAAGACGTGAAAACGCCGGCTAGCTGTTTCGATCATAGGTGTCTGAGTTCTATCTCCTCTGTCACGTGGTGGTATGGTATAATAGGGGGAGGAATATTGAGGTTAGGCTTCGGTCGAGTGCTAGGTGATTGGAAGGGGTGGGGGGAAGTCAGTCGACTAGATTATGAAGTTACATCGATTCAGATGGTTAGGACATGTGTTGCGTGTGACTGCGTAGACATCGATCGCCTTCCCTGATGGTAAATGTTAGCTGACATAGGATTGATCAGGTTGGAAAAGGGAGAGAGGGAGAGCTGGTCATGGTCAAACCAAGACATGTCTGCATCAGTCAATGAAATCCACAATAGTTAGTTTAAGATAGTCACTTAGGTAGGTGTATACTTGCTGGTTGTGTTCCTCAGGATGGTGAGAAGGAATAACGCCTAGAGACAATTGTTGATATGGCTAAAAATCGTTCTGAGTGGCTGACTTAGATGCATTCACTCTCTGTGGTTTATAATATCCAATGAAACTATATTGTTCTTGTATATTTATTACTATTCTTGTTGTCGTATATTTCTGTTAATTATCTTCCCCTGTTTTGAGTCTCTCCTTATTCTCCTCTGTTGGTTTGTGTGGTAGATTGAGGTAGAGTGGCAAGTCGAACTGGTGCACATCTGTGCACAGTTCTATGTTGAAACTCGTCAGCCAGTCACTGTATTTACTGTAGCATTATTAAAGGTGATGCTATGACTCTTACGTCTTCGATCGCTAGAAAAACTATTTCTTAAAGGTTTTCCTACTCGTCCGGAATATTTCAACTAATTAATCAAGTCATGACTAGTGGTGTATTCCTGGGTGTGTCTTTTTTCCCGTGTTTATGGCTTATAATCTGGGTGTATTTGCGTATCAGTGTTTCAGGAATGACACTCTCCTTACAATAAATATTTTACAGGAACAAGATCCGAGTTCTCAACGCTGATGGCCAGTCAGTGCCTGTACACATTTCAGAGAATTGCACTGCAGTTCATGGAAAGCATTTCCAACAGGCTTCAGACTTTCAGCTGTTGCCTATGCTTTATACTGAGGATCAAATCTCCAGAATAGATTATGAACAAGAAACTCTGATAACGAACCAACCAAGAAAGAAGTGGAGATGGATTGGACATACACTGACAATGCGGTTGAGTCATGTCGTGTGCCAGACCATCGCGCGAATGGGATCCAAATGGGAGACAGCCAATTGGGCGTCTGAGGGTGACATGGAGGAGATCGTGTAAGGAGGAGATGAAGACTTGTAGATAGTCGTGGAGCCAGCTAAAGGGAATTGCAGAGAATGGGACGGAACGGAGATGTGCTTGTGAAACTCTGTGTTCCACTCGGAAGCTGAGGGAATAATAATAATAATAAAGAATTGTGATACTATTGGTGCACTCAAGTCTGGTAAATTTCAATATTGTGTACTTTATGATTCCCTACACATCTGAGCAATTGTCTAGAAGACAACCAAATATTTAAAGTCTTCTCATTTCGTCAAACCTAAACGTTTTCCAAGCGTACGATTAGTAGTGTTCTTAACCTCGTAGTGTAGTGCATAAATGATATATTTCTTAAGAGGCATTTAAACTGCCGCATAATATGCCACTATAAGTATTAACAATTTACACTTTATTCCGATTCCTTGCTAGGCGAAGGTGAGCAATATTGAGGTTAGGCGTCGAGTGCTACGAAAGTGAGGGGAAATCAATCGACGAGACTGTGAAATTACATCGACTGAGATGGTTAGGACATGTGTTACGTATGCCTAGTCATCGCCTTCCTCGACAATGGGCAATGTTAGCTGATATAGGGTCAGGCTGGAAAAGAGCTAGTGTCGGTCATCCCAAAACATGGCTTCATCGGCCAATGAAATCCACAACAGTTAGTTTAAGCTAGCCACGTAGGAAGGTGTAGACTGGCTTCCTGGTTGGGGTCCTCGGGACGGTAAAAACCAATGGTTGGAAACAGGTGGTGATATGGCTCGAAATCGTTCTCAATGGCTTGCGCTGTTTGATGCATCCATTCCTTGTGACTTATGATCTCCAATGAAACTGTTTTGTTCTTTGTTATTACTATTCCTTTTTCTCACACCTCTGTTTACTGTCTCTATTATGCATTTCTTCTACTTTCTTCTGTTGCTTTGTGTGTTACATAGAGTGTGGTGACTTGAACTGCTGCACATTTGTGCGAAGTTCCTTGTCGAAAACAGACAGACAGGCAGGCAGGCAAAGGTTTGTCAGTTGGAGTTGTCACTCTGTAAGTAAAAATCTCTGGAAGTACAATCACAGTGATGAAGGAAAAAGCTTTAAGAATGCTTTGACGGAGGAATTAAGTAATGGTTAAGGATAATGTTGTACATTCATTCATATGTCAGGGATTCAGGGGCAAAAGTGAAAAACATCAGTGCCACTAAGATCAGTTTTTTTGAAGACATCTTTATTCTTTTGTATTTATTCTATTTTACGTAAGTTTCTTGTCTGTTAGCTGATTAATCACCTAATAATATCATGTGAGATTTTCCAGTAATTCAGTTTATTGACTCTAATCAACAATACAATTTTTATCTAGAAAAATGATATTGAAACACCTTTAGAGGGTAATCTTTAGATAACTAGTGTCAAATATTGCCCATAAATCGTCTACGGTACTTAAACATAATGAGGAAAAGACCATCAAAAGTCTTTGTGAGTTTGATATTAAACGTCGGATTCAGACTGACAGAAGTTTGATATTGTCGTATTTTTATATTCTCGGTAATTTGCAAATAATTCTTTATCTCATTTGGGGAAGTTAAACTTTAAGCAGCAAAAACTAGCAGCGCACAAACGTACCAATCATCACATGAAAAAAGTGATTTCTACATATAAAATGTATGTGCGTCTGTGGGACGGCGGTTAGAATGCTCGCCGACCATGCACATGGTCTGGGGTTCGATTCCCGACCGACGCACACCCGATATCAATGGTTCGGCCTGCTAAATTTGGACTACCGATATCACATGCTGAATATTCCATACTTGTACCAAGAATACTGTTTGGAATTAAGCTATAATAATAAAAAATATATGTATTTATGAAAATTATGATTAAGAAGTCATGAAACTGTTACACAAGATATCTTTCACCGACGTGTGTGACAAAATGCTAATCAGTTCTGCATTAAAGTGTGAACAGATTAATAAAAGCACATTCTACACACGTATTCATTCAGTTCTTCTAACCCTAATGCAAAACTATTCTTAAACTAATGCTAATCTAGGTCGAATCTAGTCCAATATCTACCCTAATTAGGTTCCGCAACAGTTGGTCTAGGCCACGTAGGAAGGTGTAGACTTCCAGGCTGGGGTCCTCGGGACGGTAAAAATCTATGGTTGGAAACAATTGGTGACATGGCTCAAAATCGTTCTTAGTGGCTAGCGCAGATGCATCCACTCCTTGTGACTTATGATCTCCAATGAAACTGTTTTGTTCCTCGTTATTACTCCTCCTTTGTCTCACACCTCTGCTCACTGTCTCTATTATGCTTTTCTTGTACTTTCTTCTCTTGCTTCGCGTGCTACACGGAGTGTGGCGACTTGAACTGGCGCACATTTGTGAAAAGTTCTATGTCGAAAACAGACAGACAGACAGACAATTAGGTTAACCTTATCCTAACCTGTCTTTAGCCTGAAACCTTAACTTACTCTTTCCTAAACCTAACTTAAAACTTACCATATAGATATCCCACTTAATATCATAACACGTCATAAGCATATTTCATTTCTAATGATAGTGCTACTTGTCTGGTTTGACTAACTTGCTTGACTGGATGTTCTCAGGTCATTGGTGTGGTCGCACTTCTTCGATGATTACGGCTAAACTTAGCCTCTCAGTCTAGAGTACTTGCATGAATGGAATTGTGTGGTTCAGTAGATTAAGCTCCATGTTTCAGATGATAAATGAGTCACGAATTCAAACTCTAATACACCTACTGCATAGAAACACAACCCCTGTACTTGAATCATCATAGTCTTTTAGACATTACGCATTTTTGTATGTTGTTATTTTAAAAATAATGATTAATAAAGCTTTATTTCAGAAAGTATGTGAAGACGTATTACAGAAATATTTCCTCTCTATACATCATTTACATGTAAAGTAGTAATCTGAAGTATATCATGTGACGTAATAATGTTACATATGAACAGACAATCAATTCTCTCTACACTTTTTCTCTCTAATTCCTTCAAAAATTGCACAGCATTTTGTTGGAAGCTAATTTAAAATATATATGTACGCGAGTTCATACAGAGTGATCATTTGATATATAATTGCAATGATTAAAACAATAAGACATGTGAAACAGCGTAAACATTTTGGTGGATGAATGCCTTAGTAGGTCAGTGATTTAAGCAGGCCATCTTCAGCTCAGCTGTGTATGTGTGTTTCTAGTAATGTAGTAATAAAAGACAACAGGTCATTCTAACAGCAGTATATATAAATGTAAACTTATTTTACTGTTTTATTTCTTCACCTAATTATTTAATCATGATATAAACATTCATTGTACACATAATCTATTTCTTATAATTTATTTTGTACACTTTTTTGCAGACCACCAATGAATGATGATCAGCGTGGCATTATAAACAAAATGGCCGAGTATGTTGTTCGTAATGGCTTAGAGTTTGAAGAACTAGTCAGTCGGCAAAAAACCGAAGATCCACGATTTGCATTCTTGAAACCAGATCATCCTTTGCATTCATATTATATGGCTAAACGAAAAGAATTAGATCCTGATGACAGTTTGACTAAAGCTGCTGATAATAATTTTAATAATAATTTTAATGATATTCCCTCTCCATCCAAATCACCTAAAATACGTTGTTCGAGAAAAAGGCATTCGAGTGATGAAGAGCCTTATGGTCCTAAAGTAAAGAGTAACTCTCATAGTAAGTTTATTCTTCAGTAAAATGTATATTAAGATGTGTATCTGCGTCTACTGAATTTTAGAACTTATTACAAAGTTCCATAGATGAAATTGTCCTTAGATGGTTAAGAGAGTGAGACAGTGTTACCACTTCATTGACTAATTTTCCATTTTATTATAAAAGCGAGTGTTGCTTTGATATGGATTTTCTATTAAATTCGAAAATCCGGACTAGCCTGATTACTTTCAAAAGTCACAACTAAATATCCGTTACGTAGATGTGCTGATCATTTGCCAAATTACATCATCTCTAATGCGTAGATGTGATATCCAACTTTCGATCAAAGGAGATGTACTGCGCAGTAGTTCACTGTGTTCTTCTCTATGATTGTGAGACATGGTCATTCAAATCTGATCCACAAGACAGTGGAGGTGCGTTCCTTTGGTTACTGTTGTCTGAAACAAGTTGATACGCCATTCGCTCGTTTCGGATTCTGGGATCCAGGTACACCATAGATTTCGGAATCAGTGTTCTCCAGCGTCCCTTGGGTAGACCGACATATCCACCAGTCGGGTTGTTGGTGTCAGATGTTCTCATTCACCCTTTTACTTATGTGAAGAACATCGCCGCCGAGTGGAGGCAGTGAATAGGATTTACCTTGTTGAGGCTATTAATGCGTAGCTACATGACAGCATTTTGTGAGGGGCTCGATCCATGAAGTCTATGACGGTTGGTTTGAGCTCCGTAGAGAGATGTAAACTACCTGGTTGAGGTCCCCGGGATGCTGAGGCTATTGGTGGTACTGGTTAAAATCGGTGTCATTGGTGCAGATGCATTTTCTCCTTGTGTTCTCCTATATCCACGAAGCTCTCATATTGTTTAATCTAGCTATCCTTTCTCTTGCATATATCTTATTGTAAGTTCCTTTGAATTTCTTTTCACTACCTTTGGATGCTACATAGGATATGGCAACTTAATGTGTGCTGCACTTCTGTACAAAGTTCTATACTGAAAATTAATCAGTCTGTCACCAATTCTCTCACTTAAGTTATTTTAACATGGCTTATTCCCCATGTAAATGTTTTTCAAATGAATTTATTGAGTACTCCAATTTACTGTTTATTATTTTAACCCTTCACGTACTGAATGAGGCACAGGGCTTCAAGCTTGAGCTTTAAAGTTTCAGTAACAGTGGTGTTTTATTGTTTTTATGGAACGGAGTTGTTAGCCTCAGAAGTAGAGTGGATTAAGAGGACGTTCGTTATTTTATTAGCATGCTAAACTGATCTGGATAGCTTTTTTAGAATACACGTTTATCTTAAAAATTTGATGTGTTTGTACAAGAAAAATTTGATCACATAATCTACTGGTCATGTCAATTTATACGAAAATAGTGAAGTGGATGTTTAGTTTATTAAACTTTATTTACATTCAATTATAGACGGGAAACAAGTAGTAGTGGTATGATATAAACCATAAGTTTGATGTTAAAATGGTCTTCGAGATTTTATATAAAACTGTCAAGAGTGCATTTTAAAGTATGCTGAGGTTGTGGCTGTTCATAAAATTAATACCCTATTGTGTATAAGTGGAAAGGATTTGTTGTTTTACTTAACCTAGCCGGTTAATCTTTATCTAATTTATTACCAAGTGCAGTATCCCTCCTATCTCTCAACTTTCATCCAAGTTGATTTGACAATTAGACATGTGACCAACCAGACAGTTCGAAGTGTTATTGCACAAACTCATCATATATATTTTTTAGATGAACTCCGTTTTTTCGCCTACTATGCTTGGCTGGTTGAGTTTTACTTGTGATGGAAACTAGAGGTCACAATTTGAATTTCTTTGTTTGGGATGCCATCATACGATTTTATCATGAGTTAATCTGATCGTGAAATCGTGTTTACATTATTTAATTCAATTTTAAATTTTTCCGTCGATTGATTGTACCGAGCTACTTGGTCTCAGGTTGATATATTGGCTCCTTGTGCAGATGATCCGACGATGTCTAGTCATGCAACTTAAGACCGAGCACTTCGGTCCAGTTATTCGACGGGAGACTTTAAAATTCGAGGCTTCGTGGAAGGACCATCATTGACTGGAGAATGTAGGTACATCCAGGTGACGAGTCTCAAATAGGACGAAATGCACATTCTGGATTCCACCGCTAATCACCATCTATCCATCAGTTGACGTCGTGTTTACACTATTCTGTTTTATAAATTAATTCAGTTATCTCTAGACCTTTTCCAACTTTTGTACATAATCTTGCTTCAACCTACACTTTTGGTTTGTCGTAGTTTTGCACTTACTTAACATACATACGCTTAGAATATCCAAACTTAGTGATATCGAGTTATTTTTTTTTCTAGAAAAATCCCACTCACCAGATTCTCACAAGAGAACGAAAGGTGATTCCGATAGCAGAAATTCAGAACGTCAGACAAGCATCAGTTTTCGTCTGACTCGTCCAATTCCCCCAGCGAAATCTCAATCTGCTCATAATAATAATGATGATACTTCTGCTGAGAAGGCTATGGATATAATTGAATGTGCTGTACGAGAGTACTCTAAATCAATTTCAAAGAGTTCAAAACGAAGAGAAAAACAACTGAAAAAATCAAATATTCGTGAAAATGATGTCAAATCAAAGAAAAGAAAACATCGATCACCTAACATTCATGTGATACCTGGTATTCCCAGTCCCAGTTCTTCATCTTCCTCACACTCATCTCCACTTCACGATGACAGTCCATATTCTGATAGAAGTCATTCTCATAGAAGTCTGAACTCCAACTACAACTCTGCATCTGTTTCACCTGCCAACTCATCAAGTCAGTCACCTGAACGACACGAGAGATCTGAACTAGTTACTAACTTCCAATCTCCTAATTCCTCTGCCAGTAATGTCCCATCACCATATGCAAATAATCCACAGTCTCCAATGGAGTCAGCATCTCATTCGAATGCTCATTTGACTTCCAATTGGCCTTCTTGCGCTCTTGACGACTTATTAGGTAAGTTCGACTACTCTTTTCTGTGAATTATGTTAATTTTATGTCAACATTGTCGCTATTTTTGATATCCAGAGATGTGAAGGACTGAATAGTAATGAAAGTTTTGACTTATCATTATTACTGCCTGCCTGCACAGTCGAGGGATGATAGATCACAAAAGGTGAGTCGCTTACAGAAACTCTGTTGACGTGATATTGGAAGATGGATTGGCCATACGCTGAGGAAACCATCAAGTGACATCACTAGACAAGCCCCCGAGTGGAACCCGAAAGGGAGGCGGCGAGTTGGTCGTCCAAGGGTGACTTGGAGGAGGTCATGCGAGGAGGAGATGAAAGCATGTGGACAGACCTGGAGCAGGTTGAAAAAGTTGTCAGAAAACCGAAGTCATTGGAGGTGCTCAGCTGAAGCCCTATGTTCCTCTAGGAACTAAAGGATACAATAATAATAATAATAATAATGTGTTTCCATTCACTGTAAATAAGCTTTTATGTACTAAATATATAAACCTTGGACAACAATTATAAACCGTTGAGTAGTTAATTTAATAGCATATAATTCCTCGGTGATCATATAAAAGTCATAGGGTGGTCAGTGGATTCTGGTCATCAAGTGTGTGAAGTTAAACGCTTGTCCGTCGTAAATCACCGTGTCTGTAGTGTATCAAGTACTGGTTTCTCTACTATCCCATACATTTCCTAAGAGTTATGTAACACGAATAATGTTAATTATGTCCAGTACTTCACTATTCACTCATCTCATCACCTCAACACGTGTCACTAGATAAAACTGGTGAGCTTTCGAGCACACTTCAATGCTTATAATAAATGTATTCACATAGCTTTCAAATTTCTTCTGTGTAATAGTAGTAGTACTTTTCGTATCTGTGTTTTCTGCGTTGCGCTATTCGTATTGTACGTGTTAGGCGTAAATTTTGACGAACAAAGATTCAATGGTTACAGGATTTCATTATGAGCTGACATTGGTTATAGAACCATTGGAAAGCCTGGGAGTAATAGGCAGCTGTTTCTTCCTAGTTTGGGTTCTAGTGAGAAGTCGTGACCAGTAGGGTGCAGCTGGTCGGGTGTGAGGACAAATACTTACCGAGGACATTGGCTAGGGGTCGCGCTATGTCATGAATTGGCGGAAGTTAGAATTCATGGGCCATTGGATTGAGTCCCAGTGGCTTAATGGTATACGAGCTCACCTTGTAACCAGAGGGTCATGGGTTCGAACCTCGAGGGGCGCGTACTGATGAAGAGTCCCAAACTAGGAAGAAACATGTGTCCAGTACTCCCAGCTGGTTTTCTAACCAAATGTCAGCTCATGGTGAAATCCTGTAACCAACCAAATCCCTACAAACCAACACTTAAAGATTCAATGATCAAAATGTCCTGTTTTACTTTTAAGGACTACAGATCTGAATAACTTATAGAAAAACGCAACAATCTCATTGCATGCACTAACACAATCACACAATAGGGGGTAATGGAAATTATTTGCTTCAAAAATTCAGATGTTTGTTTATAGTTTTAATGATGATTTTGTCAATGTTCGATTTGATGTATTTCTTTCTAAATGTCTTAATATTTAAATTCCTGAATAATCGATTACACTTTTTAGTTTGCCGATCACGTATGTTTTAATTTTTCCAACAGATATTTTGGAAAAACATAATTGTTTGTTTCTGAGGATAAAATTTTTGTCGGTATTTTTGTATGTCTAACCTGAGTGTTTTGGGGTGACCATAAAACAGGGTTAAATTGGTTCTCGCAATATGTTCTTTGCTTCTCCTTTGGAAGCTTATCCAACTTCATCTTGTGTGTAGGTATAGCTGACTATTCAGATTCCTGATGGGATCTTTTCGTAGTTTCCAAAAGAGTACTGTGTCTTGTAAAGGTTCTCCTGTTTTCACAATACAATTTTTTCCTACTCACTATAAAAACTCTACCTGTATTAGACGGAGTGACCAGTTCGATTTCTTAATTTCCGTTTTGTTTTTGTGAGTTGACAGATTGAGTTCAGAGTACTTTCTAGTCGAAGATATGTTGTATTCCCTCCCTTTCCTCATTTTTAGTGCTAATTTTTTAAGCGCTCTGAAGGAGAAGAGTTCCTTCAAAATTGCAGATAACACCACATATGCCTTCCTGATGAGTGCCAAAACGCACGAAACCCAGATCCACGACTTCCTGTCGATTACATGCAACCATCTAACAATAATTTAGAGTGCTTTGTGATGGCGAGCCACTCAACATGTTGACTACATTGCAAACTTGACTGACAGAGTTCAGCCTGCAGCAAATGAAGGACCATACACATGGCAGTTAATACGTAATTTCCAGTCTAAGAATCACAAATTGGTAGAAATTAGAGCTCATGGGTTATTGAGTTGGGTCCCAGTGGTTGGATGGTCTATGAGCGTTTACCTTGTAATCGGAAGGTGCTGGTTTCGAAACTCGATGGGTGCGTTCTGTCGAAGAGTCCCGAGCTAGGACGAAACGACTCTCCAGTATTACCAGGTTTTTAATGGTTCTCTAACTGACATCATTCCGTGATCAAAACTGGAACAAATCTAAATCCCCTTATGAACAAAGGCCTTGACAGTTCTGGTTTATTTGAATTTCCCTCGTCACAGTTTAGTTCCTTTTCAAATACTTTTGCCTCCGTTTTTGGCAGGACTTGTGTTTTTGTGTAGTTTAATTGTTTGATCGCGAGTTTCTTATCAATTTTAATATTTCATTATCGTATATTATTCCTAAGCTATTCCTGCTTTTCATTTTATCAGGTAGTTTCTGAGATCTTCAATAGTTAGTTGGATTAATTTTGTTTGGTCTTAAAGCAGTATAGCCTAGAGATTACAGTTTAAAGAAGGTTTTGCCTTCGTGTGTTAAGTGAATTGGTAGGATTGCGCCTATGACTTTTGATTGACTTACTTCGGTTTAAGTTATCATTCTACACAGAGCCTTTCGAGTTAGTATTCCATGTTTAACATACGGTTGGTTCCTACTAGTAGATGACATATATTTTTTTTTTTAGCGTGTTAATCCTTCAGTAATATAACATTGGTCCCTGGAAAAAAATATCGTAAAGCTTCACTTTATTGTAACTATTCCAACAGCTTGCATTTTTGTTTCCTTTTTTTCGGATTATATGCTATGATAAATTAGTTGTACAGGTTTGCTTAAGTACGTCTCCTAACAGGTTAAATTTCAGTAACTGCTTTTTTTTAAATTTTAAATTTCACAATTTGTAGACATCCATGAACCTACAAGTCTGCTAGATTTCTCTGCAGATGGCTATCAAGCTACGATTCCCACAGAAAAAGACGAGCGTTTACGGGAAGAAAGACGCAAAAAAGCTGCTCAATTGGTACAACAACTGAAACTGACAAGTTCTATCATGAAAACAACTTCAGAAAATAATGTTACAGCTGCAAAACCTGTTACCGTTACCGTAACTGATATTCCCTCGAAGAAGATGACTGATCGTTCTGGTGTTTCACCTCCTCCAGCTCCTGACTCTGTCCCTGCAGCTGTTGCGCATGCTGTAGTTGCTAATCTTAAGCGTCGTCAAGAAGCCCTAGAAGCTGAAATGAAAGTATGTGAATTTTTCATTGAATCTAACTTTCTTTTATTCTAATTGGCATGAAATTCCTTCATCATCACTGACTATAAAGTATTTTAACCGATTAAAAAATGCTCATTAAAATTTTCAAAAGAATGGATACTGAACAAAGAATACTCTTTTCGATAACCCCTTCATCATCAGGCTCTACAGTTATATGTACATTATAGTGAATGAATGATTTAGTGTTATGAACAACATTAATGTAGTTTAAATAACATCGAATCAATAATATCAATAGATTACAGCTCAATAGCATCAACATAAAATAAGCTGAATGTCAGAAAAATTAGGAAAGATAGATAATATTACAAATTCATGAATTTATAGTTTCTACTGAAGGCCATGGCAATAGTAGGGGCTAGATGGACTTGCTTCTTTTGAACACAGAGCGCTGGTTGTTTGAAACGAATTGCGATAGCCTCTGGTGTTTGGAGCATGCGGTGCTTCGATGTTTTTGGCAATTTATTAGGCACCCGGTAGATGATGGAGGAGGATTCTTCAATGGTGGCTGGTTTTGTGGCCGGTTAGGACCAGATGTTCCAATATCGAACTGTTACTAGTTTTCACTACACCTTTACATAGCCATGCTGGGAGATGTTCTTGAGAGAGCACGAAAAATCAAGTTCCTAGAGCAACGGCCAATATAACTCTCTCCACCATCAGCGCAGTTGAATTTGTAGGTAGGATTGGAAGTGGCTAGTCTAGGTACTTCATCTTTCGATCGAGAAATCACCATCGGTCGTGTAGAGAATAAGACGTGTAGTTCGCCAGCAGTAAAAGTTCTTTGAATAGATTTTCTGGACTTGTTAGCAATTATTCCACTAGGTGCATCACCCTTGAATTGCAGTCTTGTATATAAACGCTTCTTATTTACAGATAGTGAGTAGTCCTTTCCCGTTTTCTTTGTCATGTGTTTCTTGATAAATTTGTCGGGATAGCCATTTTCGATCAAAGTATCATATACAATGCTTAATTCATCTTCATTTACTTCTTCTGAGCATATAGCTCTAACTCTGTGGCTGAGGGTCTTCACTAAATTTCTTTTGTACTTGATAGGAACGAAGCTTTGGAAAATGTGTATATTGTCCTGTCTAAGTGCTTTTTCTATGCAAATTTCTTTTTATGCTACCATCATTTTTCTTGTAAGTAGGACATCCAGGAAGGCAATTAATTCTGTTTTGTGATTCCTCTTCTCATGTGAATTTCATAGCCGAATGTATATATAACTGTAGAGCCTGATGATGAATTTATCGAAAAGAGTACTCTTTGTTCAGTATCCATTCTTTATCAAGTATTTATTTCGTTATTAACTTGATATTGTCGTTCTGTGTTATTATGTTTTTTCAATTAATTATTAACAAAATTAACGTTTTAACGGTTTTTTTTGCCTCCATATGATATAAAGTCTCGGAAGAAGCGCCATCGCTCACCACCTGCAGCTTATGCACTCTCGCGTCATCGTCATACCGATAGGTCGCCAAGAAGATCACCAACTCCAAAATGGGATTCCTATGACCGTACAGATTTTAGAGAACGAGATGATGAATATTTTAAATCAAAGAGAAAATATCATAAAAAATCTCACTATTGATTATTATTATTATTATATTACCACGAGATTATATAATACCTTATTGTAAACGCTTGTACATATATTGTATTCATTATTTGTGATATACTACACAGCTTTTGTAGATGATGTACAAAAGTTTAGGGTTGTTTTCAGTTGAGTTACAAGTTTTGTTGTTTTTACCTCTTACTGTAACTTTGTAAGAATTATGCATTTTTTCAGTGCTAATAAATACTTGCTAAACACTATAAAAACTGTTGTTCATTTAAAAATAAAGACTATCTAAAGGGCAAGACTTTAATTATTTCGATGTATGTATTATGATTGGACAGAATTACTTCATGTTTATTCTCAAACATTGTCGAAACATCCGTACCAAGAGTCGAAATGCCAGTCACCAGGGAAAATTAAAAATTGACTTAAACAAATAATAATTGATACCCGCTGCAAAAGAGGATGGCTCTCGTGGTCTAATGGATGACGGTTTGGCATTTGAAACGAAGACTATTAAGTTTGTGATTCTCAGTGGGAAAATCATCACTCACTGGGGAATTCAGGTACACGCAGCTGGTGAATCCCAAATGGGACGAAATGTCCATCGTGGATTCCACTGTTGGTTATTATCCTTAAGATTACTAAACAGAGGTTTTACTGATTCAGTAGTCTTATATTAAAGTTCAAGCATTGGTTTTGTAGGGATTTTGTTTGATTGCATGGAGGATTTCATCATGAGCTGACATCACTTAGAGAACCGTTGGAAAACCACCTGGGAGTACTGGACAGCTGTTTCGGCAGACTAGTTTGGGACTCTTCAGCAGTACGCGCCCACCGGGATTCGAACCTAGAACCTTCTGGTTACAAGGTTGCTCAAGATATAATATCTATAGGGATTCAAACTGCCAAAAGGGTATTTCAGCATAACTTGTTACTATCTCGAGTATTTTAAAAACAATTGTTTTTTAAGCCCTGCCAAATTATTTTGTATTCCAAGAAGGAACCAAGGTTACAATTTGACCAGTCAACTTAAATAATTTGCTCACATCAAAAACAGATGTTGAATTACTTGTGTTCTCTGTGAGCTGATTGATTCATTTGCGAGGCTTTTGTCGTCCGTCTAGATAACGTCACAGCAGGTTTTAGAATAAAATGGAGTCATTTAAATTCTCCATGACTACCACTATCGTGACTGGTTGTTAATTCACTTGTCTATTGATCATATTTTTATTGACTTGGAATTCGAACTTTCTTGTTATTTGATTTATTGCTTTTTATGTTAGCTGATAAATTTGGTCTACAATAATGTGTTTGTTAATTGCTAATTCACAAAATTGGCTGTAAAAAGACGTGGTGATATGTATTCTTTCGTATCAATAGTGTTATCCTTCACGTTTCCAGTGGAACATAGGGCTTCAAGCTAGAGGCTTGAAGTTTCTGTAGCAGTGTTTAATTTTACAGGATGGGGTTGCTAGCCTCATGCCTAACCTTTCCTCCTAACTAGCTTTATTTCTGGCTTAGAGAGGTAAAAGAGTGCGTCGGTGGCCGGGGATCGAAACCCGGACCATGTGCATGGTGGGCGAGCCTCCTAACCGCTGTGCTACAGACGCATTCGTATCAGTGTATGTGGATAACTACGGATATCAATTTGATTGGGGTAATGTAGAAATTTCAAATACAGGAAACATCAAAAGTAATGCCAGGGAATTTCGAGAAGCCTGTTACTCAACAGAATTAGCAATTTAAAAAAAACAACATATTATAGACTAAATTTATCAGCCAATAGATACAAGTAAATCACGTGACAAAAAAGTTCGAATTCCAAGTCACAACAGTGGTTACCAGTAGATACTAGTACATCAGTAGTCATGGCGAATTCAGGTCAGTTCATTTTATGCCAAAACCTGTGCTGAAGATGTTATCTAGACGGATGACAAAAGCCTCGCAATTAAATCAACCAGCTCAAAGAACACAACTAATTCAATGTCATCCACCTTAGCTACAAATCTTCCCCAATTTTTCACAAACAGATGTGAACACTGTGTCCATGGACAGATTTGTGACTTTATCTGTTGTACACATTGTCCTTATCAGGTCACTCATTCTAATTCTGTTGGACGTGTTAGTTCTATTGCTGTCATTTTTTTTCAACCAATAACTTTAGAAATTGACTGGTGATTCGTGGAATCTCGTGTAGTAATTCGAAAGAATCCATACTCATTCTCTCGATCCAGTGTAAAAGAATGAAGCAGAGATTCATTGAATTTCCTGCTAATCTACAATTTAAAAACGAGTTTAAAAGTGTGTGGCTTGTGGAGAGATATCATATTTTCTTATTTCATGATAATATCATCAAATCAATGTGAACAGTGATGGTGAGCTATCTAGAATGGTGGACACATTGCAAACCTGACTGATAGAATTCAGTCTGCACCAAAGACAGGGGGACTAGACACATCACACTAGTTACTAGTGTCAAATCAAAATATCTTATACAATTGTAATCTAAGTGGTTCAACAGTGCTATCTGAGTTGCATTTAGGAAACTCTTCTATTGAGATGAAAAGTGCAGTTCAACTCCAAGTGGAGGTTACAGTTACTGTCGTAAAGTTGGAACTCAAATGCTTATCCAGACAGTTTCTATGCCCCACCAGTTACATCTGCTGAGCACATTAATATACTGAAATTATTTGTCTGAATCTTACAACAGAATCAAATAAATATACTGTCCATCCACCGGAAACGTACATGGAACGGACAACTAATTAAATTTTTACAGTTAGGTGCCTATTTCGAGGAAAAGGAACCTTATTCATACGCTCTGCTATAGGATATGGAAAATTTTGTAGTTCTGATTGTATTGACTCAGAACTTGACTTCTTAAAAGCCACACTCACAGAAAATGGTTACCTTAACCGACTTATTGACAGCAACATGAAAGATAAGCAGTCTAAACTGGTCACCAACTCAGTTCCAAAGAAAACCTTATTCATGAACTTGGAATTCAAAGGTCATCAAGCTTCAGATATGCTTCAAAATCGTCCCTCTAAATCAGTCAGTAAGACGTTCTTTGCAGCAAAATTACATATGACATTCACGAGCCGCAAATTGTTCTCTACCTCTATAAAAGATAAGCTCCCCCGTCTGGTCGCCTACATGTGCATCTATCAGCTCACCTGCTCTTGTGGAGCAAGGTACATTGGCTGTAGTCAGAGGACGCTTTCCACACGGATATGAGAATACATCCAGCTTGGTTTTACAAGGGAGAAAGGAAGTGTGTACGAAGCTTTATTCTGGAACACCTGATTGACTTCTGTTACTCGGTCAACCCTGACCATGATTTCAAGATCATATATAGAATTCATGCTAACTTCCCTCGTTTTCTTTGTTACAGATTTCTGAAGACACCTGAGGCGTTGGCAATTCATGACTTTAAGTCAGACCTTTGTGTACAAAAGAAGTACGTACAATCCCTACTTCTGCCTTGGCCGTAGAGGGATAGACATTTATTTATTTTGTTTATTTAGTTATTCTATATACCTTTCCCTTATTACTACGATTATTTTTATTATTATTACTATTCTCACTCTGAATCTTTTCCACTTGACCCACTTGTCATTTAAAACCCAAAATTATTAATTTTTATACTTTTAAAATTTTTATATTTTTACAATATTGAATTCTATCTTATCAAATTTCACACCATGTTATGTAACATTTTATATTCGTCTACTAATCTTATAATTATGTATACCTTTCCAAAATCTATAAACCTTCTGTATTATCCTATATATGACATTAATTATTTTGCCACTTGACATTAAACCATGATTATAATCACAAATATTTTAGCTGCATTTCATATTATTATTATTTCATGTATTCACACCTTTGATCTAATTCCCTCACCGGATATAATTTCTTAAAAGCCATATATATACGATTGTACAGCTTGATAATAAATTCGTTGAAAAGAGTCTCTTCGCTGAATATTGTGTTCTTAATCCTACTAACTAAAGAAATATATGCAGAATATAGATAATTAGGCAGGAGTATTTATATTAAGTGTTACACAATGAGGGAGAAGCCAGTATCTTTGTACTATCTAATGAATAAATTACTATAGTCAGCAAAAATCTCAGCATATTCGGTTAAAATATAATCTCCAGATAGTTCTAACCCGAAGAAGACTGTTATAAGTTGAGGGTTTATGGGAGCGAAACATGAAATGTGGTTGGAAATCTCTAGATTTATATTTGCTATCCCATGCTCCAACTACCAGTTGGAGTAAACTACAGTTGTGATATATTATCAGTTTCTATGCAAAGAGTTCGTAAAATAAAGTTGTTAACCTTTCGATTATATCCTGCATACTACATTTCAAGCATTTTAAATTGGCATGAACTGAAATTCATTATAATAATTTTTATTTTTATTTCTCATCTACTCGGTGACTAGCAGGAACAAATGAAAACTTTGAAATCTAAGACTAGTGTTGACTAACTTTCTTGTTTCAACAATTGCAAGCCTCGTACTTGTTTCATGTATATTTCAAAAATGAAACTGCCCTAGGAACTTGATTTTTCGTGCTCGAGAACATCTTCCAGTATGGCTAAGTGAAGGTGTGTAGTAAAAACCATCAACAGTTCGATATTAGACCATCTGGTCAAAAAAACTCTTCACGGAGCCAGTGTAGAAAAATCCTCCCCTATCATCATCTACCGGGTACCAAATAAATTGCCAAAAACATCAAAGTACCGCATACTCCAAACAGCAGAGACTATCGCAGTTCGCGTGAAACAACCAGCGCTCTGTGTTCAAAAGAAGGAAGTCCAGCTAGCCCCTACTATTGCCCTGGCCTTCAGTAGAGACTATAAATTCCCGAATTTGTAATATTATCTTTCCTAATTTTCCTGACATTCAGTTTATTGTTATGTTGATGCTATTGAGCTGTAATCTATTGATATTATTGATTCGATGTTATTTGAGCCACATTAATGTTGTTCGTAACACTAATTCATTTATTCATCCACTATAATGTATATATAACTGTAGAACCTGATGATAAATTTATCGAAAAGAGTATTCTTTTGTAAATTTTAATGGATATTTTTAATCAGTTAAACTGAAGAAAGCCAGAAAAACAGTTCGAAGAAACAACAGATTAAATATCTCCCATCACTTCATCATCAACTGTGTTCATTTTTAAAAACATTGCTGGGTGTAGGTGTGTAAAGGTGACCTAAATACGCGT